ATTTTCAACGAAAATACAACAGTGGAACTGGATGGGGAAAAGACAACACTTACACAAGCTGTGCCAGGGTAACTCTCCCTTCACCTTTCATGTGAACATATGAGAGTCTCCGTAATAGCAAATAAATGAATGCTGTTCTATATGCAGTTAACGGCCACACCCAATGTTCTTCATGTGGCATCTTCTTCATTAACAGTAAGGAGGATATGGATTTACTGTATTGTTTTGTTTTGGTTTTTTTTTAATTAGGGCTTCCACAAAATATTAGATGAGTAATGTGTAGGTAGGTAGGAAAGTAAATGCTGGCTTTTAGAATAACCCATAAAAGCATTTATTGTAGATAACATACTTTCATTGAAATAGCTCCACTTTGGGAACGGAAATATTGACATAAAAGTGAACAAGTATTCTACTTACTTGATTACCCTGCCACCATTATTTCCCATTATTTTTGACAAAAAAAAAAAATGTGTTTCTCTTCAGTCTTTCTTATGTCCTCTAGTTGCTATTTTAAATGTTGATTTATTTATTTACACATATGAAAATGTGTCTGTGTGGAGGTCAGAGAACAACCTATGGGAGTCTAGTTTGTCATTCAATCTTGTAGGTCTCTGGGATCAAAATCAGGTTGTCATCCTCAGTGTTGGGATTCAGACCTAGGACAAGCAGCTGAGGTGCCTATTGAACTGAAGGGGACCTGGCCTCCAGTTTTTCCCAGCATCCCTCAGCCCCTTCCTGTTCCCTCTGCCTGGAGATTTCCAGCCCAGGAGTGGGGCTTCCTCTCCTGCAGAGGCTCTTTGTTATATAGCACAGAAGTTTTGGTTCCCTCTGCCTCAGCTCTCTCTGCACGCCGACTTCACCTGTGAGACCAGGTGAATGGCCCAAGAGCTGCCCCAGTAAACCTGCATTTATACTTTAATTTGGCTTGAGTTGGCTCATTTTGTCATCGGAAATAACAGCACCAAGTGCCAGTATCTGCTAAGCTATCCCACTGGCCCTCAAACATTCTTGAATTTATAAAGGTTTAAAATCAATTGTCTGCAAATGGAAACTTAATTTGTTAGTGGTCACTGTTTGCCACTTTGACACTTTGCTCTGTAGTTGTTGTGTAAAAAGAATTCTTATTTAATGTGCTGCAGGGTTTTGAAAAAATGCAGATTTCTAATCATGATAATGCATAGACACAGAGTTGGCACAGAAGGACAAAAAATTTTCCTGGAGAGGCCTAAGCTGGTTGGGGGCTTTCTCTAAGGGCTTAGGGGAAGAAACTTACTTCATTACTTGTCTAAAAAGGAACATAGTAGGGCCAGGGCCTTGGGGGAAGGTATGTAGCTTTAGATCCTGAGAACCCAATTCTCCCTACCTCAAGGGGCTATGGTTATCTGTTTCAAGGTTACTGTGTGCTAGGTCTGTGCTGTACCTGAGATAACCTGTGCTCCCTTTGTGCAACCTGCTTGGAAAATTGTGAATAAGATACTGTATTTCTTTTTTTTTTCTTTTGTCTTTATTATTATCATTATTATTCATTACAGTTTATTCACTTTGTATCCCTGCTGTAGCCACCTCCCTCATCTCCTCCCAGTCCTACCCTCCCACCCTCTTCCCCCCATGTCCCTCCCCTAGTCCACTGATAAGGGAGGTCCTCCTCCCCTTCTATCTGACCCTAGCCTATCAGGTCTCATCAGGACTGTCTGGATCCTCTTCCTCTATGGCCTGTAAAGCCACCTCGCTGGGGGTATCAAAGTTCATGCCAGTGACAGCTCCTACTCCCCTTACCAGGGAACTTCCATGGAGACTGAGCTGCCCATGGGCTACATCTGAGCAGGGAGTCTAGGTCCTCTCCATGCATGGTTCTTGGTTGATCAGTCTTTCAGTCCCCCATGGAACCAGATTTTTTTTGGCTCTGTTAGTCTGTCTCCTTGTGGAGCTCCTGTCCCCTCCAGGTCTTTCTATCTCCCCCTTCTTTCATAAGATACCCTCACTCTATCCAAAGTTTGGCTATGAGTCTCAGCACCTGCTTCTATACCCTGCTGGGGCTGCATTTCTTATTAACCTTGCTTGCATTAGCCATCAGCTCATGTAAGATCGCCTGATCCCATACTTTTTTGTTCCCTCTATTTTCTTATCTCCTAGTCATCTTCCACTTAGAACCTTGTCACTGAAGAATGACCCACTGCTTTAGTTCATCTAACTGAGGCACTTGTTTTTGAGAGTTTTGTTATTTTTATCTTTAAACACATACTAACACATATAAATGAGAAGAGTAGGCATTCTTAGTGATTATAGCTAATGAAAGAACAATAGTTACAGAAGAACAAAGCCTAACCGTCAAAAAATAACAAAAAAAAAAAAAAAAAAAAACAGAAGTTAGCTATGGGTTTGGTCTACTTCCCAAGCAGTTAAATAACTCACCTTTATCCAAGAAGTGTATGGATACAATCCAATTACACTCACCACTATCATTGACTTCTGAAAGCCAAAGACTTTTAGGTGTTAATAGGTCCCAAATTTAATTATATTATAATTTGCCCAAATTTTATAGATTCTTCCAGTTTTCCTAAATAACCAATAGCTTGCTCAACTGTAGTGTAAAATTTATTTGATCCACTGTGCCTGGCATAAACTCTAGAGTGATGGCGCATCTAGGCTTTGAAGTTATCTTTTATAAATAATCAGTGGTTTATGAAGTTGTTTTTCTTGTAGGAGTTTCAGAGCCTTTGCCTGACCTAAGTCACAGACATTCCTGGCAATCCAGAGAGTCTTGTAATGGCTGAGAATTGCTTGGATGATGTGTTCTGTCAGACAACTCCCAGACCAGATCAAAGGTTCTGGTATGCAGAAATTGACCTCCTAAAAATACCTTTGTGTAACAATCAATAAAAACACTTCTGCAGAGCTGCATGGAGTTCTGTCCCACTTAAGCTGACCTCCCTGCTCCTCCAAGGCGCCATTATATCCTTGAGTATCTCTCTTTGGTTGTCCCTTGTGAAACACTTTACCAACGCTCAGCTAAACTAATATGTATTAAGCAGTTAACAAGAGCCCTTGAGTAAGTGCTCAGTCATGACCAAGCAAGCATCACTGGGAAACAGGAGGAGGAACTTTGCCAATAAACACGATGCCTATCCAATGTTTTGAAATGACACTTTTAAACCTTTGTCTGCAGCCCCCTCAGCGGAAGACTGCTAAACACGCTGACAAAAGAATATAATAATGAACCATGATAGTATTTTCTTCTCGGTGAAGTTGTTACCATAAGATTCACAAATTGCCCAGTTCTTTACAAATGAATGTGAATGTAATAACGACTGTAAATAATTCATTACATTCATTACGAATTGTATAAGGGCATTGGGTATTGATAGACCTCTATTGCACCACGAGAGGGGTGGGCAGAGAGAATATGTGCGTGTGTGCTCTGTTGTCTTGAATAATGGTCATTGAAATTTTAGAATTTTAAAAGAAATATTAACCAACAGTTGAGTATGAAATACTCCAACCAAGTACCAGGCATGGGGATAACCTTGAACCCCTGCGCAGATGTAATCCATGGCAGTTTAGTGTCTAAGTGGGTTCCATAGTAATGGGAAGAGGGACTGCCTCTGACATAATCTGATTGGCCTGGTCGTTGATCACCTCCCCCTGAGGGGGGAGCAGCCTTACCAGGCCACAGTAGAGGACAATGCAGCCACTTTTGATGAGAACTGATAGACTAAAATCAGAAGGAAGGAGAGGAAGACCTCCCCTATCAGTGGACTTGGGGAGGGGCATGCATGAAGAAGGGGGAGGGAGGGTGGGGTTGGGAGGGGAGGAGGGAGGGGCTTATGGGGGGATACAAAGTGAATAAAGTATAAAAAAATAATAATAAAAAAGAAAAAAAAGAAATAGGAATTGAAAGTGACAAGACCCAAGTGAGTTAGGAAGCAGACATTACCTGGCCTCTAATGGATGTAATGGTTACAGACAACTTTCGGCAGGTAGAACAAAGGGGCACAAAGTACAACTTAAAGGAAAGAAGACAAAGCTATGATTCTGCAGGACATAATCAACCAGAGACACAAGCGTTTGAAGACAGAGTGTTTTCTGAAAGGCAAGGGATAGCCACAAGGCATCTATATCAGGATAACCCATTAAGCAGCAATGGTGGAATACCAAAGCTTTTCTTAGGAGATGATTTCCATATCACATAACAAAACATTGAGCACATTCATCATGCCTTCTGGTTATTTCTGTTTGAGGATTTTATACCCAGACTTCAGCCATTTTCACTTTAACCACTGTCATTTCTGGTGTTTTGTTGTTTCACAGAACTGCATGTTTCCTACTGATGGCAAAACTGAGCATTTCTTACTAATGCTAAGAAACACCTGTGTTGTTCCTAACACCTCTAAACTCCAAAACTGTATTGTCCAGGTCAGAAACAAGATGGTGAACTTGGAAATAAAAGCGGTATTTGTTCTCACATTGAGATAGGTGTGACCTGGAGAAGCATGTGGCTGAACAGACCCAGTGTCCTCCTTGGCCTGTGTCTGTGTCTCTTTTCATCAACCAGGGGATTCTGTGAAGGGTGGTTACTGTCTGAAGGGTCTGGTCAACCCACAGAATGAGCCATGAGTCAAACTTGTCTCACAATAGGGACAAGGACATATGTTGGAACAAAGAGGACAACTGCCATCAAAGACTCATCCTATGTATCTATTAACAGGATTTATAACAGGATTTCTCTTTTACGGGAATAAAAACTTTGCTCTTTATTCACTTACAGAACAGTATTCCTCTTCTAATTGGAAAAGCCCATGAAAAATCTGGCATTTTAAATAGCTCTGTTTGTTTACCACAATGTCTGACATTTGACTACTATAATATTAACAGAAAAATTATGCACACTTAATACAGCTAATTAGAAAACATTTCAGTACTGTGAATGTTTGCCAGCAAATAAATATATCTGCTAATTCGATATTTAGATGATCCGTGAGAAAAGGTTTTTTTTTCCTTACATTATAATGATTCCATTGTCAATGGAAAATGAGTCAGAGGGTAATCCAGCAATGTTCCAGGCTCGGATGGTGACCGCCTCTCCCAGGGTACCCATGAGGGAGTAGTCATCCGAGCAGGGGATGTTTCTCTCTTTGCACGAATGTGACCACTCCTTGGTCTGGTTCTGTAAAATATTCACAAAGAAAAAAAATGTAGACATGAGTTGTTGGATGGTTGCCGAAGGGATACTATATCAACGTCTCAAAAACTGTCTACTGAGAAAACCAATTGCTGTTGATGCTGTTCCTCAAAAATTACTTGTGCGGCAAACCTTTTCAAATAAAATTATCATTAAGAAAATAAGCCATGTACTCAAATGAAAATTCACTCTAACCAGGGGTGAGATAAGAGTGTAGATGGACCACACCGTGAAGTTGGAATTTTGTGTCAGAAAAAACAATTACTGTGTGTTATTCTAAAGTTTACGTTTACAAAGTTGTTGACGTTCTCTGTCTTAGTTTTATTTCTGTTGCTTTGGTAAAATTAAACAGATGAAAGTCGGTTTAGAGGGAATATGGATAGTTTTTGCTCCCAATTGAATTCAAGGTGGAAGGAAGCTAGGGCAGCGCACCGACAGCCGGGAGCAGAGTGGGGACAGATGGACACACGCCGCCAGTGCCCAGCACACCTTCTCCACAGCCTGCCACGGGAAACGGTGCTGCCTCCAGCGTGGGCCATGCCACCTCGGCTAATGCAGCGAAGGAAACCCCACACAGACATGCTCAGGCCAGTCTGACATAGACAACCCCGAACTGAGGCTCCCTTTGTAGCTGGCTGTGGATTGTGTCAGGCTGAGAATTAAAACTGACCACCACATTCTCTGTGAAGTGTGCATATTTTATTTAAAGTACAAATATACAGAAAAATAATATATTACTATAATACAAAACTAAACCTGCGGAATGGGTAGGGAACACAGAAAACATTTTATTTCTGACTCCCATGTGCTCTGTAGGAAGACTCACCTGAAGAATACTGAGTTCTAACAAGGGTCAGGGAACAGTTTGAATTCTGCATGGACTAGTATGATGTCCAGGAAATAGGAGAGTGCTCAATACGAACGTTCATACTGACGTTCAAGTTGAGGTACAGACTGAAAGCTTCAGAAAGATATGACTGGGAGGAAAACAGAAACAGGCAAAAGGAGGTTGTCCATAAGAGTGGGAACGTGAATACATATGATGCTGGTACTTGTTTTGGGCTAATGAGGATACCTGTGTAGACAGATACTGCGGGGAAGGACTTGGCTGTCACTACCCTGCCCTTCAGGTTTTTGCTGAATAGGTTGTATCAATATTCTAGCTTTATGCAAAAGGCCAATGTCAGATTTGGGTGAGTGGTGGCTTCGTAGCCTTAAAAGTCGTTAATAATATTTAGAATGTCCAATATGTCCATAAGTGGTTAAATTACAGAGGACGCTACTTCCGTCATTGCACCCAATCAGTAGAATATAATTTCAATTTATTCATCTACCAAGGGTGCTAATTTTTAATCACTTTAGTAAAGCCAGGCTTCTGGTCATAATCATAGGCTGTTATGTGTGATTGTTCGTTCTTTGGGTATTGGAGTATAAAACAAAGATACTTGGGTGAATGAAAAGCAGAGTTCTCTATAGCTCTTAGGGTATGACAGGTTTTTTAATGGAAAGAGTTGCAGCAGTTGGAGCAACAGTTTCTAATGTAGTAAGTGGGATGGGATGAGCTAGAGTTCATGCACTTCCCCGGGATTACACATCTGAATAACGCATATGGATACAATCTGAGAGCCTCTAAAAGTTCTCCATTGTCCTCCAGGAGGTTGAGAGCCTAACAGTGGAAATCACTGGACTCCGGGCTTAGCAAACTGCACATGAAAAAATAGAGATTTTACCCAAAGTTGAGAACAGGGAAGACTGCAGTGGCGAGATAATTTTGGTCTTTGATCACTTCCATTTGCAATTAACATTTTAACCCTTCATAGGGAGACACCTGGTAACCACAAAATCTCCCTTGACTTTCGTCAAGTATTCATTGGTGTTAACTCATGCCATAAATCATATTTTCTTATTTTATTCTGTAAGTCATGTTACCATCATTATTCTTTTGTAATGCTGAAATTGCCAATTATTCGCAGTACCCTTTACCAAATTATCTCACCCAACACACACACACACACACACACACACACACACACACACACACACACA